AACGATAACGCCGTTTGTTAATAAAATTTTTCAATTCATGTAACATTATTCTTTTCCAGAAATTTTTACAGATTCATTAATCCAGAACTCCTTTGCACTAAAATTCCGGATATTTCATCATTTTAAAGAAAATAAATCATATCATATCACTCGATGTCATATCATATGATATATCATGTCGTATCGAAAATTTATCATAAATTTTCTATTTAGAGAAAATTTAAATTTAAAAAGGATTTATTGGTTAAAATATAAATCTATAACGAGATTTCGTGAAACAATTTGCATGAAACAATTTGTAGACTGGTCGAAAGGTTCAATGCAAACTTGCTAAATTATAGAGTTGACATAAACAAGTTTTGGATAACAATAAAAATATTTTTATAATATAAAATATAAAGTAACATTCTTCTTGGTTAGCCGTTATTTGCATCCAGGATATTTGCCGAGTTATCGAGTTGCTAGCCACTACCAGCTAAAAGTCATGGATTTCTTTCATTCCCTCAACTTTACTGTTTTTTCAACAAGCAGACCTTACGTTTTATAGATTTGTCCTTATCTTTTTAATCTTTTTTTCTAGAGTAATATAGTCGTCAAATTTCCTCACTAATATAACTAGCAGATGGTTATGGATCATCTAACTGATAAGCGATCTACCTACAATTTATCTATCTACCCATTCTAATCAGTGAATTTAATCGGAAAAAAAAAACTAAACTATTCTCTTCATAAAATTTCATCTCTTCATAAAATGGTTCTAAAAACAAAAAATACTAAAGGAAATAATATTTTAAATATTATTTATTATTGAATTTATCATTAATTTTTTAAATTATTTATTAAACACAATAAAAATATTTTAAAATAAAATAAAATCGAAAATAATAGAGGATTATTTATTTTTCTAGATTTTTTGCGTATATAATATAAAATATTTAGAGATTTAGAGAAGAGCAATAGCCTCGTCCCATCGAAATATGCTAAAAGTGTCCTATTATTGCCACCAACTTAAAACCCATATGAAAGCTTAATGAGTTTAAGTTTGATGGAGCCATGCAGTCACAACATATGCAATCACATCGTGTCATTATCATTAAAAAAAAGAAAACTATTATTTTTGATATTCTTAAAAAATCTATGAATTATCAATTAGTGTTAAGATATTATAAATTATCAAATATTTATATATTTATATAAATTTATATTTATTTATTTATAATAAATTTTTATTTTTTGACAATAAGAAATTAATAGTTTTGATGAGATAAAATTCAAATAATAATAGAAAGCAAAAAGAAATATTTCAAATATTTCAAAATTAGACCCTTTTATTATATTTCTTAACGAGTTTGCCTACCACTCGTTTTTGCAAATTAAGTTAATTAATATTAAATAAAAATGTTTGCATAATTTGAAGGCAATCGTTTATTAAAAATTTATTCATACGAGATGAAGACAAAATACGAGTAAATGAAAAGGATTGGTTAAGGTCAGCGTGAAAAAAAAAAGAAAGGTCAAACATGATAAAATTTTTATCATCACTGATCATATTTTTATATGTAATATATCATAAAATTTGTTGCTTAATTTTTGATAAAGACTTTATTTATTCATACAAAATTGGTTTAAATTCAATTAAAAAATGTAAATAAAATTACACTGAAAGATATTAAAGAAAGAATTAAGCATAAAATTGAAAATATGATTTTTAGTAAATTAATTTTACTCAAAAATCTTAAAGATAGGTCCCTAGCAAATGATAATGGTAATGATAGGGTTAAGATAATGATAATTTATGCAACTTTATTCGATCAGAATAAAATATTACAATAAGGATTGCCAACTCATTTCTTTTATCGACCTTCCTATAAAAGAAATAATTTTGCTTATTAAGCCACTAATTTTTCTATTATTATATCATATGAATTGAAAAAAAAAATTAATAAATTTTAAAATTAAAATTAAAAATTTAAGAATTTAAAATTAAAATTAAAATTAAAAATTTAAGAATTTATAAAATTTAAATTAAGATTTAGATTTAGAAAATTTAATTTAAAAATTTGAAAATTAAAATTTTATAAAGTTTTATAAAATTTTTTTCCGCATCCCATTGCTGTTTAGATTTGGACTCAATTGTCTCGCCAGTTCGGTTAAATTTTGCTACTTGGGGAAATACGTATGAATGGCCATCCAAATTTCTGAAGGACAGTTCTATTCCTACCATCCAACGTGGTGTTTTAATCGAATTCGAATCGGAACCCATTCTCGATTGTGGCAACCAACCTGCCACTAAAACATCGACGCATTCTATTAAAAATTTACGAGATTTTCATTCAAGAAAAATTTCTTAGATGAATTAGAAAAATTTTTGGATATTCATTTGATTGAAAATAATCTTATTGTTTTATCTATTAAATATTTTGTATAATAATTATAATAAAAAAAAATTTTTTTAAATCTGCTTTAAAATTACTTAGTACCATTGGTCCTTTCATCATATTCTGATATATTTCATCAATTTCGTACTTCCCTTAATAATTGATTTATAAATAAATATTCGCTTTACACTTAAGACATCCTTAGATCGTTTTACGGAGCCAACTTAACCAGCAATAAAGAGAACTGTTAGAAAAAGGAGATATATCCATTTTATTCACTTATATCCTTAATAGGAAATGGGAAAAACTAAAAATATTTGTTCAATTACGTGTGATTTATATGCAAATTTTTTTTTTTCATTAGTATTCAAAATTTAAATTTTAAAAAAATACAGCAAAATTACAAAGTACAAACTTTTGCTCATCCAATTATTATATCCCAAAGTTTACACCGACCTCAACCTAATCCCAAGTTCCCTCTCAAACCCCTCGGGGTCTGTCGATTCTTTTCGAACTTCCATCGAATCCTATTGTGAATATACTGTTATATTATAACAATATATGCTTGATATGCTAGATTAAGATAATAAATTTGGAGTTAGATGGAATGAGTGGCAGTGCTTTCGAGAAATCCCTTCGTTGAAAATTTCATCGCATTGCCATTTCATTATGTGGCCTTATATCTGATTTTTATCTAATATATTAAAAATTCTACATAATTTACGAATTTAATAATCATGTTTTTAAAATAAAAAATTTTTAGTTCTTCATTTTGCATCATTCGTAAATAAGAATATTCGGAAATAGAATGGCTCAGTGGGTTGTTGCGCCAATGTTGAAATTCTCTTCCGCCTAGTAGTAAAACCTGTCCGAAAATCCGGACGCTGGTGACTCACCTACACTTCTATCTCCAAAGGACCGGCATATTTGTCCAATGCAACAAACCAGCGGAGCGAGTTTAACCAGTAATGGTGAAGACTTTTTTAAAAAAAAAAAGTGTTCAACATTAATGGTTTACAGTCGATCCACCGACTTAATATATAAGTTAAATTTTTTAATAGAGTTACTCGGCGACAGAAATAAACGTGAGTTGTTGTCAACATTACTCGAGTTCCCTAGGAAATCCCAGAATTGGCCCCTAACCTCCAATGAGAGTAATAATTCGTTAAGCTATCCTACTATCGCTTGATAATATCGTTTCCATTTCCAATTATACTCGTTTCTTTGTTAGAAATCTAAATTTTTATAACTTCATTCTTTATCAGTTTCTCACTTTATCAGCAGAAAATAATTTTCGAAATGGGTAATTCATTGTGCCTTATATTAGAAATTAAAAAAATTCCGGTGACATAAATTGCATTTATTGAAATGAATTAAGTTTAACGTCATGAAATTGTGATATAAAATTAAAAAGATTACGATTGTTTCATTCGTTATATATTATATTCTTGGAAAAGAATGGTTATATAGTAATATTTCAGTTGAGAAAGAATAAATAATGTTTGCAGAAGATCAGTGGAAGAAGTGGAAATGAAATGACTTCGTGCATTATTGCTATAATTTCAAAGCGTGGATGCTTTGATTCATCTATCTTTCAGTGAAGACGAATAATGGCTCATCTATATTTCTATCGCTAAATGACTTCTCTGGCTAAGTTTGCCAGTGGTGCGAGTTTAACACGAAATGGAATTAATGATAATGAATTAGTGATAATGACACGGTCATGACCCCAAGAAAATCGCTAATTACTAATATGAATTTATCTAATTTCAATTTAATTTTTTAAATTACTACAATTTATTTAATTTTTTTTGAAGCACCTTTTTTCAATTTTATCGTTTTATTGGATTTTATTATCAATTATTAATATTAATTATTAAGATTTTTCTTTTTTTAAATATTAAAACTATAAACATGATCTATATTTGATTGAACGTATATAAGCGGAATTATTGGAAATATCACTAGAAAGGAAGAGATATGTGCTGATCAACATTGGCCCACATTTGTCACCTAATTTCTTCAAATAATCTAAGATATTCGTTTTTAAAATTTTTGCGATTGTTTGATATCTATAACTCTTAACTTTTATTAATTCAATTTTATCTTTTATGTGATCTTTGCGGTATCATTATCATTTCCTATTATCATTTCGTAAAAAATTTTAATTTTTTTTTTTCAAATATTTTTTAATCTTATATTTAATTGTATTTCATGCTTTATACTAAAAACTTTTGCATATTTTTTTATTTTATCTCCCCACCTCTCCCTCCCCCCAACCTCATCTCAAAGAAAATTTAATTATTTTATTAATAAAAACTGGAAATTAAAACAACTTTTATAATTTTTTAATAAAAAGTTTATTTATTTGAATTGATCATTGAAATTATGAGCTTTGAATGATTCTGCGAATTCAACTGTATTTGAGAAAAGTGTTTAACTCTGGCAATTAGTAGAATCAGCAATTTTGCCAAAAATTGAGATATTGAGAATTGATATTTTTCTAAAGAATAAGGTATCTAAGAAGAGAATAATAAATACAGAGGTATTCTAATAAAGAGATATGGCAGCAAAGAAATCTGCCTTGAACTTCATTTTTGCTATTATCGCTAATTTTCAGATATGGCTTGGCTAACCATATTCTTTTCTTTATTTCCAACTATTATAAGTGAAAATATTGTCCTTTATTATCCAGTATATCCTCATTACGTTGTACCAAAAAATCGCCAAAATTTTGAATTAAATGCTCCTCAAAGGTTGTTTTTTTAGATTTTCAAGTAATCTTGCTATTCTATCATTCGTTAAAAATGATAAATTTAAATGATAAATTAATGATGATAAAATTATTATCAAAACTTGCTCTTCATAATCATTTAATCATTTATAAATGAAAAAAAATTTTTTTTTTTGATTTGATTTGATTTTTTAAATTTTTTCAAAAATTTTCATATTATATATATTATATGTTATATTTTTCCTTCTTATGATTGTTTAAGAGACTATATTTTCAATAAGAAATCCTATTATCGATTTGTAGAATTTGGTCCCAAGAACCTGATGCTCCATCCTCAGGAATCGTTTATTTAACAAAGGATTTTAAAGAATTGTCGCATGTATTACAATGTCAGTAAATAACAGTTAGATCTTCACCGTAATTTTGTTAATTAAATTTGATAAATTCTATAAACATAACATATATATCTTTTTAAGCTCATTTTATTTTGTATAAAAAAAAATAAAAAACTTGCAAATAGCATGGATTATCCCCAATTTCGAGTTTCCTACCAGAAAAGTGGAGACTTGAAGGCTTTGCTCAATATTTGCCTCTAGCATTGCAATTCGCTCTTCTCAATATAGAACGATTGTTATATTTGAAATCTGTTAGAATCAAATTTCTAGTTGGGACCACATATGGGATCCTAGTGTCCCAGCCATCACTACGATTATTTTAGCCTTTTTGTTTTCAACATCTTCTGTAGTTCCTCTTTCAACCACTGGTATTTCTCTAACTTCTTTTATTCTTTCTTCCTAATGGTCTTGTCACTTCGTATTCATATATCACCGGACATTAATCACCAGTGCTGATTTATGGTTCTTGTCTATTACCATAGAAGAAAGGCGCACGATTTATCTTTGTTTGCCCTTATCATTTCTTCTAAATGAAATGAGATCTTAGAAAAAAAATTAAATAAAAAGGCAAGATTTTTTATCAGCACTCATCATTTCTGGTTAAAATTATCAGGCGACCATTTCCAGAGAATTAATTCGTGATAGGAGAATTTTCAGAATCGTCCAGATAATATAATTGCATAATTTTTTTGATATAATGAACTTTTAAAAAACTTTAATTATTATCACATGTTTTATTGAAGCCTCTCAATCACTGAATGACAATGGCGAAAGCGCTAGCCCTAATCATTTATCAGTCGGTAACTCTGCTCAAGAAGATGAAGATAAAAATCAACCATTCATAATAAATAATAATTTAATGGAAAGTTTAAATCCACTAAAACCAGAAAATCAGCAAGAATTCCAGGAATTGGTAGGTTTATCAGTTCAAAGCAGTAAAATTTGAAAATAATATAAAATAATTCATTTTAGGAAGAATCTCTCAAAATCTGACAAAATTTTTAAAAAATTGATTTATTTTTTGTTTAAATTTCAAAAATCTTCAGGCAAAATAAAAATAAAAAATTTCAATCCTAAAAAAGTTATACTTAGAAAGCAGTGATAGAATAATATTGTATCGTTTATTATAGGCTTAGTGAAAGGCCTTTAAAGCTTCAAAATTCCTAAAAACTAATAAAACCTGAAAATCTTAAAATGCCTAAAAGAAAAAAAAATGCAAATAATAGTGAAATTTTTAATATATTTTGAGAAATATTTCCTTTTTAAAAATGATTTATTAAGGCAGCAATGGACGATGAGGAATTTTCAGTTTACGACGATATAATTAAGGTGAGTTGTCGCTTTCCTCGCTTTTAATAACTAATGCTTGATTTTAATTTTAATTACTACTTCATTATCCTAAATTCTATTATTCTTACTCTTACTTTATACTTCAGGATGGAGGTTGTAAAAAAATCCTCATAAATAAGGTTTCAGGACCCACCTGAGAGTAGCGTTCCGCAAAAAGCTAGAAATTTATTAAAGAGCGCCAACTCTGTGAAAATTTTCGATGAAATAAAAAAAATAAAACCTCAACAAAATCGCAAAAATCAACAAGTTGGTTTTTTTCTTATTAAAACTTTCCACTTACATTAATTGCTATTCAATATTAAAACGTGTAGAGCTTGTGATGCATTAAAATTTGATATTGATGTTAATATTTTTGACGAATATTCTCAATAGAAAATATCGAATTGCATATTTGTAACCAAAAATGGGCTCGATTTTTCCGTTTTTTATGGCACAAAAGCCATATTATTTCTGCATATTAGGTTTAGGCTTGGGCTTATCAATTTAATTGGCTGATAAATTAAACCATTTTTTTTCTTTTCCGCTTCTTTGGCTTATAGTACTAAGCAATATTTTATCATTTATCGATAGAAAGCGATAAAAATTATACTATCAGCTTCACTCGGTTTTTTGAAATGTTTATCACTATTAGAAGTGAATTAGAAGTGAGATATCAGCATCCGAAACCATTCTGAAACCAAAACAAACAACCTACTCATCCATTCTAAACCATACAAATTTTAATTTTGAAGTAAATTTCCTTAATTCTCTTTTATTATAAATGATAATTTTATTCAATTATCTTTCTATCTCAATAGAAATTGGAACTAACCAAACGCCTGGAATTTTTTAATGTTTAAAGCTCATATTTTATGGCTCATTCGTACGACTTCGATACTTTTTACCTTTATTTTAATTGAATTAATCACGTAAATAATAATCATGCAAAATCTTTGTAATAAATTTTGGAAATTTTTTTCAATTAAATTTTAATTAAATTCAAAAAAATAAAATTTTAGACTACAACAAAACAACCAATACGGCTATTCCTTCGTCCTAAACAATTTACAAAATATCATAAAAAAGGTTATTTTTTAAAGTTTATTTTATTTTCTAAGTGTCATAAGTGTTGGTAAATATTACAAGAAAAATTCACCAAGAATCGATAATCAATCATTTTACACAAAATGAATAAATGAATATATATTACTATATTACTTTCACTATTCACCCTCCACTTTTACTCTAGTCAATATCTTATAATAAATCCATAGTGTGCTACCATTTTTGATTAGATTTGCTCCCTTGGCTTGTAGAACCAAATATTACATTTGGTCCAAACTATATTTATTTCATTAAAATACTTCTTCATATCCTACACGACTATTTTCATTTTATATAATTTTGGTACCACGAGTGATATAGTAAAATTTCTCTACTTCAGATCCCAGCAAAGTAAATTCGCTAACAATAATACCAACGAATTTGGTAAATAAATCGAAATTTTTTGCGAAACGTTTTAAATCTATCGAATCTTCATTAATTCGTAAATTACCAACATCACAAATTGAAGGCGATTCAATTGTTCGACCATGGTGGAAATTCATTCGATAATTTTCTTTAATTTTTTAAAATATATATACATTATTTATATAATATATAATTTAATTATTAATAATATTTATTTGTATAAATATGTGATTCATAGAAATTTTTTTTTATCGAAATAAAGATTAAATTTATTTTCTTTTTTATTTTGTTTTTTATTTATTATTTAAAGTATTAAAATTTCTCTTTTATTGTTTATAATTAAAGTATTTTGCACGTATATTTAATGTTTAAAAAAAAAAACGTATTCCATCTAAAAGATGCAAGAAAAGAAAAAAACTACGAAATTTCCAGGTGATATGGCATATTGGCTTTCATTAGCTTTTCGCCCATCTAAATCGATTAAAATATTTTTGATGCTATTTTTTTGTAAATATAAAATATCGAATCGATTAACCTATATATATATATATATATATTTATTTATTATAATTTTTTATAATTTTTTTTATATTAGAAGAAATAACTTTATTTTTTCTGATACATTTTTTCATAGTAATATGGCATATGGCATTGCAATTTTAAGTTTTAGAAGTTGTAATTTTTTTACAATAATTCTTTTGCAAATTTTACTTTAATAGTAATAATTCTTGATAACTTGAAGTATAACATGAAAAAGATCTACAGCTGATAATTCCAATAAAAAATTTTATCAAAAAAATAAATCTATTTTGATTTGATAAATGCTATCATTTCATTTTCATTTTACTTGCTGTAGAACATACACAATCCTTTCAGGTACTAATTTCAGTTTCATGTACTTCAAAGCTAACGCTTGTTGCACTGATGGGACTATAGTTTGATACATCATATATAGAATTTGATATACATTAATAAGAAATATTATTTCGTCCTTCTTTAAGTTTATCACGCCATACATACCTATCACCTATAATTAGATTTTTATCAACATGACAAACCTTTCGAGATTTCTTTATCAGTTTATCAGCTTATTTTAATAAATGAAAAATAATTTCCGAAAATTTAATCATTTAATCAACAAAATTACTAAATTTGGCTTATTAAATGGTTAATGATTTGTGGCTTTGACTTAGAAATTGCAAAATTTGGCATTATTATCGAATCATTGAAAGTTATCGTAAGCGATGTGTCTGTTGGATCGTCCGCATATTCAACTATTTATAAAAATCTATAAAAATTTCATAAAATTTGGGGAAAAAATTTTCGCTATTTCTCGCTATTTTTCGCTATTTTTTCTAAATTTTTGTTTTTCGACTCGTTTTCTTTTTTTTGAATTTGTTTTAAATATTCTATTGACGTAACAAAAATTGTGAAAAGTCAAAAGAAAAAAAAACTATTTAAAGTTTTTTAAAATGAAACTATTTGCTTAGGAACTTGGCTTTGGTGTACATATATTTTTATACTTCTGAATGTATATATATTTCTGAATGAGAAATGCCTTGTAAATTATAAACATCACGAACTGTTAAACCAGCTAAACATCGTTAAACTACAAAATATAGAATTTTTCCATTCATGGTGAAAAAAAATTTCCTTCCAGTTTGGTCTTTTTGCAATTTCATTCGTTCATCCATAATAAATCCCTTCAATAAATTTTTTTACAACTTTTTTTTTAAAAATCTTTTTCAAAAAAATTTCTATATATAATATATAAAAAATAATTTCTATATATAATGAAAATATAAACGATCCATTCATAATATATTCTCTGCTTCAGATCCCAGCAAGATGAATTCGCTAACAATACTTACCAACTTATTTGGTAAATAAATCGAAATTTTTTGCGAAAGCTTTTAAATCTATTGAATCTTCATTAATTCTTAAATTACCAACATCACAAATTGAAAGCGATTCATTAAAAATATTTTAATCGAAAATGGTGGGAATTTATTTGATAATTTTTTTTAATTTTTAAATAACTGTATGTAATTTATTTATTATTAATATTTATTTGTAATATTTGTATAAATATGTGATTCATAGAAATTTTTTTTATCGAAATAAAAGTTAAATTTATTTTTTTCTTTATTTGTTCTTTATTTAAAGTACTAAAATTTATCTTTTATTTTTCTTTTATAGTTTATAATAATAATATTTTGCAAATATATTCAATATCTAAAAAAAACGTATTCTATTTAAAAGTTGCAAGAAAAGAAAAAAACTACGTAATTTTAAGGTGATATGGCATATTGGCTTTCATTAGTTTTTAGTTAGTTTTCGCCCATTTAAATCGATTAAAATATTTTGCTTTAATGCTTTAATGCTTAAGTTATTAAAGCTTTAAATATTTAAATATTTTTTTGTAAATATAAAATATAAATATTTTTTAATATGGAATCGATCAACCTATAAATATATATATATATTTATTTATTATAATTTTTTATAATTTTTTTTATATTAGAAGAAATA